GGAGCAACATAAAACTGTGCTTCACTGAATTGCAAATATTAATATTACTATTATTATAGCTTAACATAAAAATATAAAACCATAAAGCACATTCTTTTAGATAAAAAGCTTTGTAACAAAATTAAAAACTGTAATTGATTGACACAAAGCCAATTCTTTTCAGTGTGCTGTGAATCAATATTTGTCATTCTGGTCTATTTATCCCAAGCAAGATATAACACTGAGTGAACACTTTTTCACAATTATTTGAAACTATTTAATGGCCTCTAAAACAATCTATCATTACAGTTAATACTAAAGCAGAATTAACATGCTCAGATGTTGTTTCTTCTATTCTATTCTGCCACTAATTTGACGTCAGGTAAAAGAGATTATAAACAGAGACTGTGGGATGGTTCAGTGTTAGGGTAAAGGTAGTTGTCATGAAATCCTATGACAGGATTTTGATTTCTACAAACTACGTAAAGAAACAATGTGAGAAGCAACTCCCCAAATTTCTCCTCTACTCTCTACTTGTATGTTGTAGAATATATACTCACACATGCCAATGGAAAATAAATACATAAACACATAAGCAGATAAATGAAAAATAGAAATCCTTACTAAAGATAAAAAATTATTTCATGAGAAACTATGAAGACTTTGGGTTTTTAAACATATAATACTTAGAAGTACACAATATATGTTTTTGTTTAATCATTACTAATAATTCTGTTGTCATATATTTATTGTATATGGATAGATTTCTTAGTTATTTTAATATATGCATATTGTATATACTGAATATATTCCACACTTTTGCTCCTGGTTCTAATATCTTCCCTTTATTTTAGTCACTCACACTTTCACTTAGTCTTAGTACTTTTAAACTCATGATCTAAGGTTTCTTTGAAAACTCACAGAAAGAGCTAACCTGAGCAAGTGAGAAGTTGTGGACCCCAATCTGACAGCTAGGGAATCAACATAGGACAAAACCTCCTGAACGTAGGTATCAGCTAGGAGTACTGGACAGTCTATGGGACCTCTGGCAGTAGAAACAGGATGTATCCCTAGTGCATGAATGGACTTTGGGAGCCCATTCCCCAAGGAGGGATACTTCCTTAGGCTAGATGTATGGTGAAGGATCTAGCCCCTACAACAAATGACTTGACAGATTGATGATCTGTCATGGAAGACCTTACCCTCCCTGTGGAGTGGATGAAGGATAGGATTGGGGGGTCAGCGTGGGACATTGGAGGATGGGAGGGAGAGAAACCTGGGATTTACATTTAAAATGAGAAAAAGTATTAAATAATAAAAAAGTTGAAAAACAAGTCAGGAGTAGTGGGTGTCCCTATACTAAATTGGTAACCCTAGCACGTGGGTAAATGTTGCTAGAGAAGTATGAGTTTGAGCTCAGAGTGAGCTGTAAGGCTAAAGCATGCCTCAAAGTAAAACACAAATAAACAAACAAAAAATGATGGGAAAATATTCATTTCCAACAGAGATATCCTGCTGTATCTAGGGCAGGATCCACATGACTAGTGGACATGTAAAATGAGATTGTTTCTGATTTAAATAAAATTTGTTTCTTATTAAAAATTAATATATGAATGTTAGCATAATATACATAGTCTCAAGTTCATTGTATGAGATGAAGTGTTTGCATAGTACATACACCTCCCCCTACCTGTATTTACAAATTTTCTCTACCAATAATAAGCACTCAGTATAAATATTATGAAATATATGATATAACATATTTTTTAAATGATATCTAGAAAAATAGTCTGTCATTGATTACTATGAATGCATATCTTCTAGATGTACCTTATCTGCATAATGTTAAATTTCTGGATAGGCTACCTGAAGGCATGCATGGCCTTAAATAGTCTTTAATATAAACCAAGGACCACACAGATTTGTGGTAAAATAATGAAATACTCATGTACCTAGGTTCTATGTACAAAGATATTTGAATATAAATGTTCACAAATCTTTTTGCCAATTTATGTTGTTTGATACTCTTGCCATTTGTATAGCATGAGTATAGAAAAGGTTCCATATCATAAAGCAATTTGAGAACAGAAAGAGAATATGATAGCACTTATTTGAATAGTACTGAGACCTCAATGACCAATATATCATTACTATAGTGAGTAAGCATTTTGTTGCATAAAAAAAAATCTGAGAAAATTTGTCAAGTAGACAATAAAGCTACTCTAATTTTCTTAAATTATATGCTTTGTTATGGCTTTTGAAGATGTTTTATTATTTGTTAATCATTGATCAAATTATTTCTATGACTAGAAAATAGAGTATATGAAGAATGAATGATGTCTTTAAAATGAATGAATTAATTTACTTCATTTTAAATACATTACATTCTGAAATTAGGAATGGGATCTAGCACATCTGTTTTAATATTCATAGGCAGTATAATCCCTGGCTGCATGATTGATTTTACAGGTAATTGGATGTTACCTTATCTCTGTATAATTTCAGCTATAGGAAATATTAGGTAGGTAATAAAAACCTCTTCAAACCTTTGACACAGGCATCTTATTAACAAGAAAGTAGGTAAGGCCCATCTTCGGGTCAAATTAAATATATTTCTATATCTAAATATACTTTCTGTATCTAAGAATCTATACTTTCTATATCTAAGAAAATAATGACTTAAAAACAAAGTTAAAATTATTGACTATAATTATTTTCTTTCTTGGGCCATCAAATAACATATCCTCACTAGATAGCCAGCAAAAAAAAATATCAAAACGAAAATGTAGTTGATACTTTTAGGCATTTCTCAATTACTTAAGTAATTCATAATTTTGAATCAAGTCTTAATTCATACTCTAGAATCTTGGTTTTTAACTATCAGTTGTTCAAAAGACAAAAATAAGAGTCTGGATGTTGCCAAACCCAACTAATATATCAGTAACACAATCTCTATATGTAAGCATCAGTGAAAATCATGAAAGTGGGGATGCAAAGACTATAAAAGGGTTGGAGGGGCATGGAAGGGACGGGGGAAAAAAGAGAGAGGGTGGTGCAAATGGGATTGATATGTAAAATAAGAAAAAAAATAATCAATATATACATAAAAAGGAATATAATAGTCAGAGGACCAGGATTCTTGCAACTGAATAGTTTCTTGCAACTGAAGAGTGTCTTTTGGTCAAGACAGGGAGAAATGCATGAAATCTCAACAATATGTTGCCTGACCAGCATAATTAGAACACCATTCGACATATCAATATTGGCAAGGAAAACTTTAGATATAGAGTTATACCTGGTCAAAGGCTGCTGAAAGGGGGAGAATTAATATCATCCATGGATGACCTCCTGCATAGGAGGTCCAGGCCAAGAACAAATGTACAAACAATGTTAATGGACTAAGCAGGTTAAACATAAACACACACACATACAAACACACACACATGCACACACACAGACACTCACATACATATAAAACATATGTGTATATTTTACATGTATATTTGTATACAAATTTATAATATGTAACCTTGATAATTTATACAGCTATCATAGATTTGATACAGAGGAACACAGGAAGAATTTGAGGGGGAAGGTATTGATGTCAGCATAGTACCAATGGGTGAAGCTTTTAAATTGAAAATTATAAAAAAATGCATTTTAATTCACAACAGATTATAAAATACAAACAAAACACATTTTAAGGAAACTATATAAGATGGAACACAGTTTTTAATAAGCAGCAGGCATACTTATTTGCATTGTCAAATGTCAAAAATGTACAAGGTTATTTTTGGTTTAATATGTATATAATAAACACAGTCATGACTGGTAGAGATTCAAGTTTATTTTACATACTTATTAGTGTTTTAATTGTATTCTGTTTATTTGATTACTGAGGCAAACATGAAAAATACCTAATAATAAGCTTGGAAAACAGCTGAGTGTGGTGGCTCTCACCTATGATCCCAACAATTGGGAAGCAGAGGCAAGTGGATCTCTGCAAGCTAGAGGACAGATTTGTATACAGAGTGAGTTCCAGAACAGCTAGGCTGATAAACAGAGAAACAAGTTACTTGAACTTATCCAAATGCTTGATTACTTATAAGGAGGGAGTTTTCAATCCTGTTACAGACACATTGAATTGCTAAGAGTATATATATATTTTACTGCATTAAAATTAGAATATATTTATTTTCTTTCCTATGCTTGCCTTCATGGAATAGGGTACACATATGTTTGCACATAACTATTTGTTAGGAGGTATATATTCTAGCATACAATCCAGGCAAAATTAAAAATCATCATTTATTGAATACTTTATGATCTAGATTCCACCATACCTAACATTTTTAATACAATATTTTAATTGAATATTTTTTTATCAGAAACTTAAAATGTTACCCAGAATCACATACCAAATGAATTAGCTAATAATTGGTTTACCCCACCCAGGTCTCACTTTTGGTCATGGTGTCTATTTACTTGCCTATGCTAGCCTTAATGGAATAACAGGAGCATGTTATTTTGTTTATGTTTGGTTAGGAAAATCATTCCATACAGGTGAATTATCATATATGAATACAAGAATACACCTTATTTATGTATAGTTTGGTGGTTTGAATAAGAGTGACCCCCACAAGCCCATAAATTTAAAGGCTTAGTCACCAGGCAGGTTTGGCATGGTTGGAGTGTAAACTGAAATAAACACTTTCCTCCCAGAATTGTTCTGGTCATGATGTTTTTAACAGCAATAGGAACTCCAACTAAGATAGTATATTAAATATTAGTTTATAGGCTTGAGTATGGTATTTGCTCTTGACATGTCTCAGTTTCCTGTTAAAAATCATAATTTCCATGTATCCCTAAGAGGAAGAAAATACTTTCAAAATAATTCAGTTACTGCTGTAAAATTTAATACTCAACTAAACTAAAATCATTATTCATTTTATTAGAGAAGACTGTGTCTATCATACATTTATAAAATACAGATTAAAGAGATTTCCCACTTATCTTCATACCTCTTCATGTAGTTCCCTCCAACGAGAATTAAATGTCTCCAGTTCCTCATTGATCAGTTCATCCATGACTCCTCCGTCTGTTAGGGTCTGTGCCAATATGCGAATCTGATTTGGGTTGTCCTCTGAATGTTGCATCAAATTTTCAAGAGACTGAAACACATTTTCAATAGCCAATATTTCTCTTGTTTTTCTAAGTACATTGAATTTGCACACAAAGTTCAGTATTTTCTTATTTACCTACAATTAAGCCATAAGCAATGTAAAGCAAAATTTAATTTCAATAATAAAGCATGAAGGAGCCCTACTTTGTAAAAAATTAAGAGGATTGCATTATGACTTTTCACAACTTTACAGAGTGTGTTTTGAAAATTTGGCATATTTTTTAGTGATGGCTTTTACTCTGAAACATCTAAGGTACTGTGCTCAATTTTTCAGTATTTTGTTTGCTTGTTTTGTTTTGTTAGATTTTGGATTGTTTGCTTTGTTTCTTTTATTTCTTTTCTTTTTCTTTTTTTTATGCTCATTGACATGCAGATAAAGTTATTCTTTTGAAAATATGTATAGTGGCAGCTCATAAGCCCAGTTCCACTTCAAAGAAACTCTTACTCTTCACACATCACATATTTCCACTGACATTTTAGTATTGAAAGATATATAAATCACAATAAGTTCCTTCATGCTCAGGAAAGGACAGCAGACAGCAATCACCTGGTGATCTTGGTTGGACCATTGTCATTTCTGGATAATTTTTTTGGTGTGTCGTGTGGTGTGGTGTGGTGGTGGTGGTGGTGTGTGTGTGTGTGTGTGTGTGTGTGTGTGTGTGTTTGTGTGTGTGATTAGATACATGTGAGTGGTGTGTGTGTACATGTGTGTGTTGGTGTATTGCAGCTAAGCTATTTCCTGACTTTTTATTATTTACATCCTTTCTCATAATTATTTTTTATTTAAAAATAATATTTTCCCATTTTACACAACAATCTGAGTTCCCACTCCCTTCTCTCCTCCTGCTCTCTCTACCTTCCCTCTACTCCATCCCCCATCCACTCCTCAGAGAGGGTAAGAATTCACATGCCCTCCAGAAACACCCTTATAATTCTTAACTTAAATAATGTTTAAAATTGAGTGGTTTGTCAAGATAGATTGCACAAAAACAAAACAATCTCAATGTCAATTTTAGTAATTCTAGATAACAGGAAATCCAAAATAATTTCATTAGACCTTATATCATAAAATAAGTGACAGATATAGGCTCCACAAATTCAATAGGTGTTTTTATTTTTTCCAAAAACATGAAGCTGTCCCCAGAGGTGCCTGTATGACATTTTTATATTTATATTATCTTTTAAATTCTGAACAAGTTCAACATATTTTGCTTGAAATGTCTAGTGAATCAGAATATCATTATTTCTTTATTGTTTTGCAAAAATATGCTTTTGACAACTAATATCATTAAAAATATAACCTCATCAAATATTTAACACAAGATTCCTATCCTGCCCTGGCACCTTCTGGAAGAGTTGATTGCTGGGCCATTTTCTTCCCAACTTTCTTTGAGCAAAGGTGTCAAGCCAGGCTGGCGAAAATCACAGAAACAGATGATGTGAGCAAGTAGGAGTTCATGGACCCCTGTCAAACAACTGTGTAACTGGCATAGGACTAAATCAGCACCCCTGTACGTGGTTGGCATTTAGGAGGCCTGGACAATCAATGGGGCCTCCTTCAGTGAAACCAATATTTATTCCTAGTCCATGACTGGACTTTGTGAGTCCATTTCCCCATGGAGGGATATTCTCTTAGCCTAGATACACAGGAGAGTGCCTAGGCTCTGTCCAAAATGAATTGACAGAGTTTGATGATCCCTCATTGAAAGCCTCACTCTCCCTGTGGAGTGGATGGGGAGTGGGACAGATGGGGGAGGTAGGAGAGGTTATGGGATGACTGGAGGGAACTGGGATTGACATGTAAAATGAGATTGTTTCTGATTTAAATAAAATTTATTTCTTATTAAAAATTAATATACGAATATTAGCATAGATTTTTTACAACATACATTTAATTACAATTAGCAAATATCTGCATTTTACAGAATTTTTTGTAGAGTAATTTTCTGACGTTAATTCATAATACAGTATATAATCTGTTAATTAAATACTAGCAATCAGATTATAAAAGGGTAAACTTATTTTCCTTCTCCTAAAGGATCTTCAAGGAGCAATGGAGTGGGACGAATATGATAACAATGTAATATATGAAAATATTAAATGAAAATGGAAACTAAAAGCAATAAAATTAAGAATTCAGTTACAGAAATATGCAAAGAGCATTTATCTCCTTGTCAAATACATGTATATCCTTCTTATTTAAAATTTCTGTAAGAATAATAAGCTTCTACCAAAGAATTTACATGTAATAGTTAACAGGATGGTCAGTATGAATAATAAGGTCTTCTTTTCCTCCATCACCTCAACATTCCTGTCTGATCTCTTATCAGTCTCTTCAGAATGGACTGCACTTTACTAGCATGTATAATTATGCAAAGAATGTAGCAATTGTACTATTATACTTTTCCAAATGCACCTAACACATTTTGATCATATTTAAATACCCTCCTTTCCCTAATAACACTCTTATTTTTCTCTTTCCTAATAGTTCCACTTCCATTTTTGTGGGATTCTTTCTTTTTTTCTTTTTTCTTTTTTTTTTTGTTATTTTTCATTAGCTTTCACATGTGACATACATACAAAAAACATGAACATGCCACATTTTTTTTCAAAGGATTACTTAAAATGTGTTATCAAACTTTAATTTGGTAATAAACATAAAATGAGGTAATTTCCTAGGACAGTCATACCAATCCAGTCTTTATACTGACTACTATACATTTTACTGAAGCATGATAATTGTTCTTTGTCTATTCTAGATAATGGATCACACTGTCATTTCACAAGGAATGTTTGGTCAAGGAATGTCACTGAGCAGGACAGGATCAAAGTTAAAATCTATCTGCTTCTTATTTTGCAGTCACAAATGTGCCATATTTATTTTACAGATATACATATACTGCAAAACCGAGCAAAATATATACACCATGAATGGCTAAATATTGGAAGACAATATAATTTATACCTTGTATATGCACTGATATAATTTTTCATATTTAAATTCTATAAAACAAGTATGTATAAGAGGTCTTGAAGATTCATTTATAAGATGTATTTAAGTCATAAAATACTCATTAAAATAACTTTAAATTTTTACATGTCCCAGGTTAATAAATCTATAGCTTAATTCTAGAGAGAATTCTAATAGCAAATTGTTTAGCTATAATCCAAACATGATTTTATATTAAACTGTCTTTAGAAGTTTGTAGGAGATTTAAGCATGTAAATTAAGTACATAGAAATTAGGAAGCTAACAAAAAGAAAATCGCCAAGATGACAAGTGATTCCCAAAATCCTTGAGACCTGGAAGAATCCTAGAAAGAACAAAGACGTGAACATGCTTAGTAGCTACTCCCTATTCCTTGTGTCTTAAAAGATGTTTTCTCCTTGGCACTAAAACTTTGCAATACTGCATAGAAACATCATTTAGATGAATTAAGGACTTACTTCTAGCACCTCAGTGATTTCCTCTGCTCCTGCAGGAACATTGTCAGTGGCTTGCAGTTTCAGTTCTACTTCATTGAGCCACTTGTTTGCCTTCTCCAAGTACGACAATAATTCATGCCAACATGCCCAAACTTCCTGAGAAATAAATGAATATTGCAGATAAAATATGGTCTCAATTTAATTTTCTACATTTTGCCCAAACTTTACAGTAAGTAATTTAAAATGCAACTAGGTACATTGAAATTTAAAACATCAGGAATTATGTTATTAAGGAAACAGTGTATTACTCAAATAAATTCAAAATCAAGTGATTTTCCTCTTAAAAATTACACATTCCCTTACACAACAGTCTTATAAATAAAAAAAAGCAAAACATGATAGAAGGCATGCATAAACTAAACTTCTTTAAATATCAACAACTACTACTGTTTGGGTACTTCTAAAATCACCAAAATAAATAGTTTTTTATTTAAAGTTAAAATATGCACTTAACTATATTTCTACTGGTATTAAACATATTTAGGGTTTCTATATTAATAGGAAAAAGATATTTTATAAAATATCTAATATTTCATTTTAGTAATTATGTTAGTTTCTGTAATAATAGATATTGATTTAAATCTATCTACTATTTTCGTGATCCTCCTGCCTCTGCCTCCTTAAGCAAATCCTACCTACACTCAACACTAGACAGGACCACAAATCAGAAACTCAACAAAGAAACAAAAGAATTAACAGAAGTTATGTCTCAACTGGGGTTAACAGACATCTATAGAACATTCCATCCAAAGACAAAAGAATATAACTTCTTCTCTGCTCCACATGGAACCTTCTCTAAAATCGACCACATACTAGGTGACATAACAAACCTCAACAGATACAAGAGAATAGGAATAGTCCCCTGTATCTTATTGTACCACCATGCTTTAAAATTGGAATTCAACAACAACACAAATAGCAGAAAACCTGCAAACTCATGGAAACTGAACAATGTGCAATTGCACCACTCCTGGGTCAAAGAAGAAATAAAGAAAGAAATTAAAGACTTTCTAATATTCAACGAGAATGAGCATACAACATACCCGAACTTATAGGACACCTTAAAGCAGTGTTACGAGGGAAGTTCATTGCACTAAGTGCCCATATGAAGAAAACAGAGGATAATCACATAAGAGAATTAACAGCCCAACTGAAAACCTTAGAACAGAGAGAAGCAAATTCACTCCGCAGGAGTAGATGCCAGGAAATAATCAACTAGAGAGCTGAAATCAACAAAATAGAAACCAGAGAAACAATACAAAAAATCAATGTAACAAAGAGTTGGTTTTTTTGAGAAAATCAACAAGATAGACAAACCTTTTTCCAAACTAACGAAAAAGGAGAGACATAACATGCAAATTAACAAAATCAGAAACAAAATGGGGAACATAACAACAGACACAGAGGAAATCCAGTCAATTTTCAGGTCATACTTTGAAAACCTGTATTCCACAAAAATTGAAAATTCAAAGAAAATGGTCAAGTTTCTGGATAACTATCACTTACCAAAACTAAATCAAGAACAGACAAAAAACTTAAATAGACCTATAACCGACAATGAAATAGAAGCAGGCATCGAAAGCCTTCCAACCAAAAAAAGTCCAGGGCCATATGGATTCAGTGGAGAATTCTACCAGACATTCAAGGAAGAATGAATACAACTACTCCTCAAACTGTTCCACAAGATAGAAACAGAAGGTTCATTACCAAACTCTTTTTATGAGGCCACAATAACTTTGTTACCCAAACCTCACAAAGACACAACTAAGAAAGAAAACTACAGACAAATATCCCTGATGAACATCGATGCAAAAATACTCAATAAAATACTGGCAAACCGAATTCAAGAATTCATCAGAGAAATCATCCACCATGACCAAGTAGGCTTCATACCTGGAATGCAGGGATGGTTTAACATATGAAAATCTACCAACGTGATCCACCATATAAACAAACAGAAAAAGAAAAACCCTATGATTATCTCCCTAGATGCTGAAAAATCCTTTGACAAAATTCAATACCCTTTCATGATAAAGGTCTTGGAGAGGTCAGGGATAACAGGAACATACCTAAACATAATAAGAGCAATATACAGCAAACCAACTGCCAACATCAAACTGAATGGAGAGAAACTTAAGCCAATTCCTCTAAAATCAGGAACAAGACAAGGCTGTCCTCTCTCTCCATATCTCTTCAATATCGTACTAGAAGTTCTAGCTAATGCTATAAGACAACAAAAGGAGATCAAGGGGATCCAAATTCGAAAGGAAGAAGTCAAACTGTCTCTATTTGCAGATGATAGTTTACATAAGTGACCCAATACACTCTACCAGGGAACTCCTACAGCTGATAAACACCTTCAGCAAACTAGCAGGATACAAGATAAACTCAAAAAAATCAGTAGCAATACTTTTTTCAGACGACAAAGAGACAGAGAAAGAAATCAGAGAAACATCACCCTTTACAATAGCCACAAGCAACATAAAGTATCTTGGTGTAACGCTTACCAAACAAGTAAAAGACCTTATAATAAGAACTTTGTGACTCTAAAGAAAGAAATTAAAGAAGATACCAGAAAATGGAAAGATCTCCCATGCTCTTGGTTAGGTAGGATTAACATAGTAAAAATGGCAATCTTACCAAAAGCAATATACAGATTCAATGCAATCCCCATTAAAATCCCACCACAATTCTTCACCAACCTTGAAAGGATAGTAATCAACTTTATATGGAAAAACAAAAGACCCAGGATAGCCAAAACAACCCTATACAATAAAAGAACTTCAGGAGGCATCACTATTCCTGACTTTAAGCTCTACTACAGAGCTATAGTTCTGAAAACAGCCTGGTATTGGCATAAAAATAGACAGGTAGACCAATGGAATCGAATTGAAAATCCTGATATTAATCCAGGCACCTATGAACACCTGATTTTCGACAAAACAGCTAAAATTATACAATGGGGCAAGGACAGCATCTTCAACAAATGGTGCTGGCCCAATTGGATGAGGGTGTGTAGAAGACTGCAGATAGACCCATGTCTGTCGCCATGCACAAAACTCAAGTCCAAATGGATCAAAGACCTCAACATCAATCCAGCCACCTTGAACCTCTTAGAATAGAAAGTAGGAGGTACCGCGTCTTAAACATAACTCCGTGGGCACAGACACTGAAGAAACAATTAATAAATGGGACCTCTTCAAACGTAGAAGCTTCTGTAAGGCAGACACAGTCAACAAGCCCAAACAGCAGCCCACAGACTGGGAAAAGATTTTCACCAATTATATATCAGACAAAGGGCTGATCTCCAAAATACACAAAGAACTCAAGAAACTAGCCAACAAAACACCAAATAACCCTATTAAAAAATGGGGTACAGAACTGAAGAAAGAATTCTCAATAGAGGAAATCAAAAAGGCTGAAAGACACTTAAGAAAATGCTCCAAATCTTTAGCTATCAGGGAATTGCAAATCAAAACAACTTTGAGATACCATCTTACCCCTGCCAGAATGGCTAAAATTAGAAACACCAGTGATGACTTATGCTGGAGAAGATGTGGAGAAAGGGAAACACTCCTCCACTGCTGGTGGGAGAGCAAACTCATACAGCCATTTTGAAGATCTGTATGGTGTTTCCTCAGGAAAATGGGATTTAGTTTACCACAGGACCCGGCAATCCCCCTCTTAGGCATATACCCAAAGGATTCACATCCATGCAACAAGGACATCTGTTCAACTATGTTCATAGCAGCACTATTTGTAATAGCAAGAACCTGGAAGCAACCTAGATGCCCCTCAATTGAAGAATGGTTAATGAAGATGTGGCACATCTACACAATGGAATACTACTCAGCAGAAAAAAAATAATGTTATCTTGATATTCACAGGCAAGTGGGTGGCACTTGAAGAAACCATCCTGAATGAGGTAACCCAGTCACAAAAAGAGGAACACCATATGTACTCACTCATATATGGATTTTAGACCTAGATCAAAGGATCACAAGCCTACAATTCACACCTCCAGAGGAACTAGGATACAAGGTATATTCTAAGAGAGTCATATAAAGTCTCTCACAGAACTGGGCAGGGACAAGTCCCCCAGAGCTCAGGTGAATTGGGGGGGTCAGCGAATGGAGAGAGAAGTAGGGGGAGGAAAAGAAAACATGTGCGACCAGGAAGATTGAGCCTGGTTAGGAATAGAAAATAGGAAAGAGAGAGAGCGAGACAGAGACAGAGAGAGAGAACATAAAAGAGGGAGTCAATATTGGTTTGAAGATAAAATTGAACACAAAGAAAGGTCTAGAGAACTATAAGACTCCTCCCAACTAACAATCTTAGCTTCCGTGGAAAGGCTATCATAAATGCCCTTCCTTTGAGAGTGAGATCAACAACTAACTTCTCCATAGAGCCCTCAACTAATGCCTGTTGAAAACAGGATCAAGCACCCATACATAAACACTGAGTCGAACTAGAACCCAGATGCAGATGGAGAGGACAAGACCATGCGGCAGAAACACATAGAGACAGCTTACCTGAACAAGAAGGAGCTAATGGCCACTAGACTGATAGCTGGGAAGCCAGCATGGGACTGACTCAGGCCCCCCTGAATATGGGTCTCAGCCAGAAGGACTGAGCAGTCTAAGGGACCTCAGACAGTGGAGCCAGGATGTATCCCTGGTGCACAAAAGGACTTTGTGAACATATCTCCCTTGGAGGGATAACTGACTTAATCTAGAGATAGGAGAGTAGCCCTAGTCCCTACTTCACAGGACCTGTCAGATCTACATGACCCCAACTGGATGGCTTTCCCCTACATATGGAATTGTGGTGGGTGGATGGGAGTGGAGTGTGTTTAGAGTGCATGTGAGAGGGCAGAGAGTGTAAAAGAGAGGGAAGGAGGCAGGGAGACATGGGGGAGGGAGGGAGGGAGGGAGAGGGAACTGGGATCGACATGTAAAATAATTAAATTAAAAAAATGCTTTGACTCTAAAATTTAAGTTGAAGGACAAGTTACTGGGGAAAAGGATTTCTATTTTTGTTTCCACAGAAAATTAAAAGATGTGGATTTCTTCCAGACTAATGTGGTTTGATCACGC